GTGTGTGTGTGCAGAATCTATGCTAGCCTGCTACAACATCTATTATTCAGCAGACACACTCTGCTGGTCTAACAAGCAGCTGAAAGTAAGAGTTAGCACTGACTGTCTGTGTCAGTGTGTGTGTCAGTGTGTGTGTCAGTGTGTGTGTCTGTATCCTGCCGTTCCTCATTCCCACTCTTTAGGTTTTGTTTGTCGTCGACTATTGTTTCATCATCTTATGTTCTCCTTCTCTCATTTTCTTCAGGACCAACAGACCTTCCTCTCCTCCTCTTCCTCTCCTCCTCTTCCTCTTCCCTTCTCTGCCTCTAATGCGTCCAGGTCTCCTCCCTTCTGCTTTTCCTTTTTTTTTTTTTTTTGAGAGATGATTCGTTGAATCGGAAACAATTAAGGAGCAGAAATTTTTGGCAACAATAATTTTGGTGAGCTCTGCAAAAAAAAACTGTGTGTGCATGCATTCTCCTCTCTTTCGTTAATTAAAATGGTTTTCTGATGGCCACAAATGGGCGCTGTCAAACACTCGGACCAAACACACACACACACACACACACACCGCCTGCCTTATCTCCTTTTCCCACTGCAGCCGTTGACTCGACGCAAACAATTTAACGCAGACACACAAACAGAAGCATGTCACTAATACAATGACACACACACACACACACACCGACGTTCTGACCACAATCTTATTCACAGAAAGAGATTTGTCAATGTGAACTCTCAAAGTTTCACTAAAAAAATTAAAGAAAAAAATGTATTAAAATTCAAATTAAATTAAATTTTAATTAATTAAAATTAAAATTAATTATTGCCCTTGAGATCCTTTGACACATTTAATGCTAGCTTAAAAAATCTCTGACTCCATATGTAAAACAGCCTAAAGTAACTTCTGACACATAACCAGAAAAAAGTGGTCAAAAACCAAAAAACAGATTTTACTTTGCTTTGTTTTGTTTTGCTGATGTAATACTTTTTTCTGTTCATTTCTGGACCAACATCTTCCACGACATGAAGAAGAAACAGGTTTGTTTGAATCAGAACTCGTGCATCACAGCAACAAAACACACAACAAAACACTCAACAACCCAAACCAGAAGCTCCACTAACACACACACACACACTGTGTGTCAGAACTGTAAAAAAATGTCCTTGTGTGTGTGTGTGTGTGTGTGTGTTTTCAGCTGATGAGGCGTTTTTTCCGTGCTGTGGAGGAGCCGACTCTGTTG